GAGGTCTTGGGCGGCACCTGTGGCTCAAAAGGGTAGGGTGCCAGCTCCATATGCCAGAGGTGGTGGGTTCAAACCCAGCCCTGGCCAAAAATAATAATAATAATAAAATAAATATAAAGAAAATATTAAGTTAAAATAAAAAAGAGAGATTCTCTTAAAAATAAAAAATAAAAAAGATGAGGTCTTGCTCTGGTTCAGGTGGTTCTCAAACCTGAGCTCAGACAATCCATTGGTCTCAGCCTTCCAGAGTGAGAGCATTATAAATGTGAGCTACTAGGCTCAGCCAGAATTTCTTACTTTTTATAATACTTTTTCAAGTGGCTTGATTTTTTTAAACAGTTTTATTGATAACAATGTTTATTTTACCTTTTCCAAATTTTTATACCTTTCTTTCATTTAATTGACTACCCTCTACTGTAATAATAGTGATGATAGTGCTTATCTTTTCTTATAGACCTTAACAGAAATGCTTCTGGATTTTTCCTATTAAATATAATACTAGTGTTTGGGTTATACTGTACTTTATTCTCAAATACTATCTATCACTATTTTATAAAGAATTTTTTAATGAAAATAAAGTTTTCTCATCTTTTTAAGGTCTGTGGAAATGACTATTTATTTTTAATTTCTTACCTATATTTTCTTTTGTAATATATTTTCTAATATCAAGACATATTCTTGGAAAAAAAATCTACTCAGGTATATATACTGTGCTTCTGGGACACTTTTTTCTGGGTCATTTGGTGTTTTACATAGATTCTTTTCCTTGGTTAAATGAAATTGAAGAATAGTTTGCTTCTCTGGTGTGTCATATTTGTCAGGTTTTGGTATTAATATTAGGTTTGTTTCATACAAAAGTATTGGGAATTGCTCTTTTTTCTATACTACACAATTTGTATAGTGTTAACAATTATTTCTTAAATCTTTGTTAGAACTCCCATGTGAATTTCTTTGGGCTTTCTTGTTTTGTTTTAGGGAATTGCTTTTTATATTTTTCTGTTCATTTTAATGGAAATTTGTCTACATAAGTTTTTTCCATCTTCTAGAGTAAGTTTTGGTAATTTGCATTTTTCAGAAAAGTATTCATGTGAAACAGTTTATAAAAATATATTTCAATAAGAGTACTGCAAAGTAATCTTATGTTATAACCTCACATGTTTTTTCTTTAATATTATGTCTTCTTACTCTATTTGTACATTGATCATCTCCCTAATAGTTATTTGTTTTCTTTCAGATCTCTTTCAAAAGCAATCAAAGCTATTTATATTTATAAATAACTGCCTCTACTCATACTTTCTTCCCTAGAATTTCCTTCTAAAAAATTAAGAGATAGGAGGTATATGCATTTGAAATTTGTTTAATAATGGGAGAGTATGCCTATAATCCCAGCCCTTGGGAGGCCAAGGCAGGTGGATTGCCTGAGGTCACAGGTTTGAGACCAGCCTGAGCCAGAGTGAGACTCCATCTCTAAAAAATAGCTGGGCATTGTGGTGGGCACCTATAGTTCCAGCTACTTGGAAGGCTGAGGCAAGAGAATTGCTTGAGTCCAAGATGTTGAGGTTGTGAGCTTGCTGTGAGCTATGATGCCATGGCACTATACCAAGGGTGACAAAGTGAGACTCTGTCTCCAAAAAAATAAAATAATAATAATGGGAGAGTAGTCCTTAAACAAAGAATTAACCTCGTTCATAATGGCACATTTTTTTGAAAATTTCCTGATATTACATTATTAGAAAAAATTCACAAGTGATATTTGTTTACAATCTATTTTAGGAGAAATATGGGGAATTGATGATCATCAGAAAAACCAGGATAGACTTTTGAGACCAGTTCAAGGTAAATTCAAGAAAACACTGACTAAAGAAAAAGACAATAAATGTCATAAGCAATTTGCAAATTTATTTCCTCTGAACTCAGATTTTGTTCCTTCTGGACATAATTATGAATATGACTTGTTTGGAAAGTGTTTAGAATATAATTTTGACTGTCATGATAATAAGAAATGCCTTATAAGAAAGGAAGATTGTGAATATATTGAACCTATGAAATCATATGATAATAGCTCTTCACATCTTGGAGTAACACCCTTTAAGTGTAATCATTGTGAAAAAGGCTTCAATCAAACATTGGACCTCATCAGACACCTGAGAATTCATACTGGAGAGAAGCCCTATGAATGTAATAACTGTAGAAAAACCTTCAGCCACAAGGAAAAACTCATTAAACATTATAAAATTCACAGTAGGGAGCAGTCTTTTGAATGTAACGAATGTGGGAAAGCTTTCATTAAAATGTCGAATCTCATTAGACATCAAAGAATTCATACTGGGGAGAAACCATATGCATGCAAAGAATGTGGGAAATCCTTCAGCCAGAAATCAAATCTCATTGATCATGAAAAAATTCATACTGGAGAGAAACCTTATGAATGTAATGAGTGTGGAAAAGCATTCAGCCAGAAACAAAGCCTCATTGCACATCAGAAAGTTCATACTGGGGAGAAACCTTATGCATGTAATGAATGTGGTAAGGCCTTCCCTCGGATTGCGTCCCTTGCTCTTCATATGAGAAGTCATACAGGAGAAAAACCTTATAAATGTGATAAATGTGGGAAAGCCTTCTCTCAGTTTTCCATGCTTATTATACACGTTAGAATTCATACAGGTGAGAAACCCTATGAATGTAATGAGTGTGGAAAAGCCTTCTCTCAAAGCTCTGCCCTTACAGTACATATGCGAAGTCACACTGGTGAGAAACCGTATGAATGTAGTGAATGTAGAAAAGCCTTCAGCCATAAGAAAAACTTCATTACACACCAGAAAATTCATACTAGAGAGAAACCTTATGAATGTAATGAATGTGGGAAAGCTTTCATTCAGATGTCAAATCTTGTTAGACACCAGAGAATTCATACTGGGGAAAAGCCCTATATATGTAAGGAATGTGGGAAAGCCTTTAGCCAGAAATCAAATCTCATTGCTCATGAAAAAATTCATTCTGGAGAGAAACCTTATAAATGCAATGAATGTGGTAAAGCCTTCAGCCAAAAGCAAAACTTTATTACACATCAGAAAGTTCATACTGGAGAGAAACCTTATGATTGTAATGAATGTGGCAAAGCCTTCTCTCAAATTGCATCCCTTACTCTTCATTTGAGAAGCCACACAGGGGAAAAGCCTTATGAATGTGACAAATGTGGAAAAGCCTTCTCTCAGTGCTCACTGCTTAATTTACATATGAGAAGTCATACAGGTGAGAAGCCTTACATATGTAATGAATGTGGAAAAGCCTTCTCTCAAAGAACTTCCCTTATTGTGCACATGAGAGGTCATACAGGTGAGAAACCCTATGAATGTAATAAATGTGGAAAAGCCTTCTCCCAAAGTTCATCTCTTACTATACATATACGAGGTCATACAGGTGAGAAACCCTTTGACTGTAGTAAGTGTGGAAAAGCCTTCTCTCAAATCTCATCTCTTACTCTTCATATGAGAAAACATACAGGTGAGAAGCCTTACCACTGCAATGAGTGTGGCAAGGCCTTCAGCCAAAAGTCACACCTTGTCAGACACCAGAGAATTCATACTCATTAGCAACTCTATAAATATTGTGAATATGGGAAAGCCTTTGGAAGGAATTAACACCTTATTGCACATTACATGGCTGGTTCCAAAGCAGAAAACTATGAATGTTGGAAAACCTTCTGAAGAAGTCACAAACTTATAAAATAGAATTCTTACCAAGTTGACAAACTGTATAATGAAAAAGCTGATTATCTTAAAACTTCCAGCAGACATTTTACATATTGATAATATTTAATAAGTATTTGTATTAAAATCTGAAACAAAGTATCTGCTGTCAGCACACCAACATAACACTTGAGCTCCCAGGCATTGTCTTAAGCAAGATAAAGAAGATTAGGAAAAAAAGAAGAACTCTAAAACTAATCTTTTATACAAGAAAAAATTAATGAGAAAATGTATTTATAGAAAATATATAAGAATAAACACAATAATGATTTATGAGACATATATACATAGTTATAAAACATCTTAAAGTACACAGAACATTATATCCCAAAAAACTTGACTTTATAAAAATATAAGTTCTCTTCCAAATCTGTAAGTTTAATATACTTCACTTAAAGTTTACATCAGTTATTTATATATTTTAAAGAACTTTATAAATTGATCCAAAAGTTTTATATGGAAAAGTAAAGGTCACAAATAGCTGAAACAAATTTGAAAAAGCAGAATAGGGAAGGCAGCTCTATTAGATATCATCACATTCTTATTTAAAGTTGTCATTAAATAGTGTTACTGAGGGAATACATTAATCAGTAGATAAAATATTGAGGATTATATAAAAATCCAAGAAGATATGACAAATTTGTATATGATAATGCTATTGAAATTATCAGTAATTTGGAATTATTGGTATATTCAGTAAAAGGGAAGGTTTATATGAAATTATCAATAATTTGGAATTAATGGTATATTCAGTAAAAGGGAAGGTTTATATGAGAAAAATTAGCTATCATACACCATATACAAAAATAAGATCCAATAGATTGACAACCAGAATACTAAAAGCAAAATTCCAACACTATGATGAAAATAGAATATATTTATTACTTTAGAGTAACCAGATTTCCTTAATCATGGAAGAGTCAATTCTATTTTGATGTTTTGGCCTCGTAGGCACCCACGTGATATCACTTTTCACTGCATCACAGTTTATATTGCCCTAAATTGCATATGACATAAATTTTCAACAACAAAGGGATAAATCAATACAATGTGATTTTTTCTATGATTGATAGAATATAGTATTTAGAGGGAAGACACAAAATGTACATGGATTACAGTATATATTATTGAAAGAAAAACCAAAATGCACAGTGAAACTGTAACATTTATGTAATTTAATGAGATGATGAGAAGAACAGTACCGTGTATTGATCATAGATCCATATATGACATTGGTTGCCTTTTGGAATGTGGGAAAGTTTTGCTGAGAGTCATATTCACCTGTAATATTTCTTTAATGAAATAATGAAAGCAAATATGACAATGATGATAAATCTGGTTGTTAAAATTACATGAGTTTTTCAAAATCCTTTCTTGCCTTTACTTTCCTAATTTCTCCAAAATGAGAATCAAGTTGATGGGAGAAACCTAGGCCTATAGCAACAACTGAAAAATGTATACTTATTCTTGATCAGATAATAACATTTATAGAATAAATTCTCTTTAACATGCACAAAACAAGCCTGATAGGTATTATTTTTTTACTCTCTCTTCATAATGTTAATTGGGATAATTAGCAGTATGCAGCATTTGTTTTAGGCTGATTTTTAATTTTTTAATAATTTTTATCTTAAGCACAAGTCTTTCCTCTAGTTGAAAGCAGTAGGGGAAAAATAATTGTTTAATTGGTGGGATAACTGACCCCCAACTTGGATTGGTTTTCAAGTGAAAGAATGGAACTTTTCATATATGCTGTGAAATGTGGTTAACATTCCATCAGGTCAAGCCAAGGATAGTTACTAGCATCAGAGCAGGAGCAATTTCTTTTTCTTTTTTTTTGAGACAGAGCCTCAAGCTGTACCCCTGGGTAGGGTGCCTGTGGCATCACAACTCACAGCAACCTCCAACTCCTGGGCTCAAGCAAGTCTCCTGCCTCTGTCTCCCAAGTACCTGGGACCACAAGCGCCCACCACAACGCCTGGCTATTTTTTTTTTGGTTGCAGCCGTCATTGTTGTTTGGTGGGCCCCGGCTTGATTTGAACCTGCCACCTTAGGTGTACGTGGCTGGCGCCTTAGTCACTTGAGCCACAGGCACGGAGCCAGCAGGAGCAATTTCAATATATCCTAACAGCTTTTTTGATTTCTGGATCCTTGGGGATGCAGATGCTCATGATTTTATGTTTGCCATGTAAGGACCCAGAGGATGTGAAAAGCTCACTTCCTCCTGTTCAACAAATGTTTTATAGTAACGTCTTTAAAGTACTCGTGGTGATCAGTTTTTTTCCTGTGAATAGTACATTTTTATAGTTTGTCTATTTTTTTTTTCTACTAGATCTTTAAAACATGTTTTAATGAGAAATAATTATAGATTTATATGAAGTGGAAGAAGTAATACCCCACAGAACTATCTAGTTTTATACCCTACACCTAGTTTTCCCTAGTGGTGACATCTTACATAACAACAGTAAAATATAAAATGCATTAATAAGTTTTGTAAGAAGAATTCAACTAAGGATCATATTCTCAAGTATCCCTGATGTTGGAGGGAAGAATAAGAAAGAGACAGCTGTTTCACCATTTCTTTCCAGATTCTATCAAGCTTATGTTCTTAACTTAACTGGAAATAAATAAAGCCAACTTCTTTTTGCCAAGGGCCCCCACAGATGTTTTTAATTTTCTTTGGTGATGTTAGATACTTTGTCTCTATATAAAATCTGTTGGGAACCAGTCTGAAACTATGCCATGAGTTTCCCTCCCAGTGGCTGGTAGAGACAAGAGGATGAGGAAAAAATGAAAAGACAAAACACAAGAGAAAGTTTAATTAAAGCTGGTTCAGGAGTCTGTCTGCCTTCACAATGAGGACCAGCAGACAACCCCTTGCTCCAGGCTAGGTCCATTTTTATTTCATACACCATTGTTTTAATCATCAATCTGAGGAAGGAAAGCTAACAATTACATCATGGTTCTTGCTGTGCTTGCATTTTCTAACTAAACTATTTCTTTATCTATGTTAATTAGACTGATTTACTTTTTACTGTTATTGCCCTAAATTATTTATGATCATAACACAAATAAACATTGGACTCCTTCACAGTCCAGGAGCAGCATGTCAAAGAAGACCCCACTTAGGCCATGCACACAAATCACTGGAGTGGCAATTAACACTCAAGAAGCCTTGTGCTCAGACTGACTGATGCTTCTGACCATACCAAATTGACAGAAGAAAGGAAATATTGCTCTCTTATCTTGCTCTCTTTAACGAGGTTTAAACATTCTATATTCCCTAACTCCCCAAAAGGACTTACCCTCCCCAAAAGCCCCACCCAGGCAAGCCTCGCTTGCTCAGTGACCTTGGCAGTAGAGTGGTGCTGGGGAAGAAGTGAAGTTTCAGCAAGATAGCCTCTACAGTCTTAAAAAGGGGCTAGGCCTTCAGCAGTGCGTTTTGCACCAGGGTTTGGGTTTCTCTGATCTACTTTTCTCCTGTCTCTGTTACCTTTTTCCCATCATCTGCAATCATTTTCTTTCTTTCTTTTTTTTTTTTTTTTGGAGACGCCAACCGCCCCCCCCAACGCCGGCCCGGCTATTTTTTGGTTACAGCCGTCATTGTTGTTTGGCGGTCCGGGCTGGG